TCGGCATCTTCATATCCGGTCACATGGGCAGCAAGCCACTCCAACAAAGGAGGCCACACCCACAGAGTAGGTTCGAACAATTTTTGAAACACACCACTGGTGTGCATAGTAAGTTCCTTCATCCAATGCCATTGTAATTTTATTTGTAAGTTGAAAACTACCTGTAGATAAACTTTTGAAAAGAAATTCATTGGGTTGTGCAGATCATGACTGAATAGTATCAGCAAATCTGAAGATTTCCAAACAGGACTTTATAAAGGAGATAGTGTTATGTTTGACATGACATGATGCTGTCTCCTGTAGTTAGATGAAATATAATTAAAGAGATTTGCCATTTTCACTAAAATCTTAACAATGCAAATTAACCAATCCTTTGATCTCCCTGTGAAAGATTTTTTTTTTATCAGGGCCTAGTAATCTTGTGAACTTTTAAATCAATACAAATAGTACTCAATTTACAATCATTCATTTTGTGACTATTTAAAGTTGTAACGGCATTAAAAAAAGGGGATTTAAAATATTTTTTATACAATGGTTGCCAAATCCCCATTATCACATAATTAAATTTCAGAGACTTGGCAACTGGCATGTATTTATGATGGCTGCAGCATCCTGGGGACATGTGATCACCTTTTGCAACCTTCTGACAAAGAAAAGTTTGTCAAATGTTATTATCTATTTTTTTAAAACTTTTGTAATATGTGTTTTTTTAAGGTTGTACACTGCCCTGAATCCTTTGGGAGAAGGGCAGCATATAAATCCAAAAAATAAACAAACAAAGTTAATAGGGAAGCAAGATTCACTTAATAACTGTGTTATTAACTTAACAGTTGAAGTAATTCACTTGACAACTATGGCAAGAAAGGTAATAAAATGGGGGAAAACTCACTTAACAAGTGATTTATTTAGCAACAGAAATATTGTTGTCATAAGTCAAGGACTACCTATAACTATAAGTAAAGATTTAAAATAATTGAGATGCTGTCAGCCTCTGCTTTGCTGTTTCTTCGGCTGCCATGAAACGGGGAGGGAGGGCATGGTATTTGGGAGGGGTTACTCATTGTGCTGGAGGAAGGTTCTGGAGTTTAACGGCTGATCGGACTACGCATGCGTGGGAGTTTCCAACCAGGACTAACGGCACCGACATTCCATCTTCGTGATGCCTTTTGAAGTTATCTCGCACCTGACACTTGGGAGAATTATGATTGGATTGTAACTGTGATGCCAAGGGGTGGGGAATGGGCTATTCTATATATCAATCGCTTTCGCGCCTAAATAATCAGACTTTCCTTCGCTATGCCTTTAATCATTTTTAATTAGTAAAAGTACACTTGATTTCCACACATGGAGTCTCGTGGTCTTTCTTTCCTAATTATTTAATGGAGAGGTGCTGACAGATGCTGTATTTCAAAAGCTCATTACAATCTTTTGTTTTAAATTGCCCAAGAGTAAATATCAAGAAAGAGGTGCTGCTGGAAAGAATATTAAAAACAGTAGAATGCGGGAGGGGGAATCAAGATAAAAATAAAGCCAATGACTTAATAGCCATCCATCAACATCCCTATCAACATCTAGAAAGCCACTACAACAGATACCACATATACAGCACACAGAGAACATGCCCAAAACACACAAAACCTCTGGTCCTGGTAACTGATTCAGATTGGATCCTGCAACGTTATCCTAGGATACATATATTCACCTTCATTTGTAAAATGGGAGAGTGGCTATTTCTAAATGGGAAATAATTGTTTCATTCAGCTTCAGAAATTATCAGAGTTAATTCACCCAATCACATAATCATCCCTATAGGAAGACATTAGATTAAGAAATTTTAGATATTAGGTGTAAAAGGTAAGTAGGGTTTATCTCTGACATTTCTTTTGCTCTTGTTCTAAGGGAAAGGCAGGTTAAATTGTTTTTCCTTTAACAGACAAAATTTGGATGATAACATAAAGAGCAGTCAGTTTTATTGACAGTGTTAATATGAAGTTGGTTTTTCTTCTTTGGCTTGTTAGATCATCTTGTGAATGTAGTGTCATATCCAAGCAAAGGTTGTCAAAATAGAATTGTTATATCCAGTTCTCACCTTCAGAGAGGTTGGCATTTTATATCGAGTGCATAGCATCAGTCTGATACAATGGCAGTTCTCTCTTCTTGAGTTATGTAACATCCAAATTCTTATCCCAATATTATTCTTCACTTTTAAAAAATCTATGTGTGGATCTTTTCTACCGTGCTGAGAATACTCAGTAGAGAAAGGAAAAAGGTATTTTCCACTTGTATCCCCCACCTCATTGTTATTTATGTATTCCTTGGCAATAGTATCTTGGCTCATTTGATATTACCTCTTAATTCTTCATCCAGGCTGCTATATGCTCTCATGTTTTCACTAATAAATCCAATATTCTACAGCATGAGGAACAAAAATGTCAAATTGGAAATTTGGGAATTGCTTCGTTCCAAAAGATGTAGCTAGAAGAAACAAGATTATTTTAATCTTTGCCAATGCTGTCACATGGCCTTAACCCTGATTGAAAAGGATCCAGATAATCTATTTCATCCAATGCCCCCTGAAACTAGCACCATCTATGGATTCATCAGCCTTCTCTAAAACAGGGAAGTTGGTTACCAGCAAATTTTCCTAACAAAGTTGGATCCAGGGATTGCCTCCTAAGAAAAGGCTATAACATTGTCTTCTTCAAAGGAGACAGCATCACCTCCTCCCATAATGGGGCACTAATCACTGCTTAGACCAGTGGTAGTCATCCTGGTCCCTACTGCCCACTAGTGGGTGTTCCAGCTTTCATGGTGGGTGGTAGGTGTTTGCTGTAACTCTGTTTTATAAATTTTATAAATCACCATTACTGTGGAACCAGTGGGTGGTTAGAATATTTTACTACTAACAGAGATACAAAAGTGGGTGGTAGGTATAAAAAGGTTGACTACCCTTGGCTTAGACCAACTGTATGCCACTCCTGGGAAGGCCTTAACTAATATGTTTTCTGTAAAATAAATTTGCTTTATGATCAAAAGGAATGAATACTACAGTCTTTAAGACAGCCTTTCACCAATTCAAAGGAGCAGCTAATTATTCCAAAAGAGATCATGTCAATTTTATACATTTATTTCTTGTTTTAATAAAAGTGCATTCACATCTTAGATCCCACTTAATATTGGAGAACTTGAGAGATTGCAATGACTTCGGAATCAGAGAGCTTAAAATTCTACATAAATTTTAACAACAGCTACATTGAAACTAAAGAGTGTCACAATAATAAGTTTACAAAAGGAAGCTTAGGCAAGTATATACACCCACCTGACATTTTAAACTGAGCCTATCTGTAGTATAAATATATATTTCATCAGTAAAAGAATCAATTACCTTTTAGCCAGCTCTTCTTGACAGACTTGAACACTGGGCCCTATCTAACAAAATGAAATTCAATGTAGAGAAAAGTCGTACATTTAGGCAAGAAAATCAAAAGTACATACAAACTGGGGGAAACCAGGATTAATAGCAGTAACTGTGAGAGGGATATTGGAGTCTTTGTGAACAACCAATTAAATATGAGCCAACAGTGTGCAGCGACAGCCAAAAAAGCCAATGCTATCCTAAATTGCATTAACAGAGCGATACAATAAAGATATTAATACCAATAATAAATATAAAGCCTTAGTAAGACCACATCTAGAATACTGCATTTAGTTTTGGTCGCCACACTATAAAAATGTTAAGAGAGTGCAGAGAAGAGCAACCAAGATGATTAGGAAATTGGAGGCTAAAACATATGATGAATGGTTGCAGGAACTGGGAACTGGGCATGGCTAGTGTACTGAAGAGAAGGACCAGAGGAGACATGACATCAGTGTCTCAATATTTGAGGGGCTGCTGAGTGGAGAGGGTTAAGGCTATGACTCAGGATATGGAATTATATTTTGTCACCTTCCCATGTGGTAGCATTGATCTGGCAGGATATGATTAGTAGCTATCTCTATCTTAACTGTGTTTCCATTTATAATTGCTTTCCCTTCCTGAAGGCAAAAAACATAAAAAAACTCAATGCAATAGAATCAAATAAAAAACATGAGTGAACAAAATGTCAGAATTTCCACAGTTTAGCTAGGGCAAGTATGATATTCTTATTTCTTATGCTATAGATGATTGGATTGAACAGGGGTGGAAGTAAGGAATATAGGACAGTGAATACTAAATCTAAGTAAGATGTGGTGTTAGTGGGTGGTCTCAGGTAGGTCGGGCATGAAGTTACCAAAAGAATACAAAAGATTATCAGGTGTGGAAGACAAGTAGAAAAGGTCTTCTGCCTTCCTTTCACAGAAGGGATTCTTAGCACCACCTTGAAGATCATAACATAGGAGATGATAATAAAAATAGAACAACCAAGTCCTGTAGTTATACTAATTCCAAGCAATCCAATTTCAAGTAGATTGAAATCAAAGCAGGCAAGATTTAGCAAGTGTGGAATTTCACAGAAAAACTGGTTGACAACATTAGAACACAAAGGGATGTAAAAAGTTCCAGTGGTGTGCAACATTCCATAGAGTATACCTGTAACCCACACCAGAATCACTATTTTGATGCAGACTTTCCAATTCATCAACAATTCATAGTACAGTGGACGGCAAATGGCAACATACCGATCATATGCCATGACTGTCAGGAGGGACAATTCAAATGCTTCAAAGGAGATAAAGAGAAAAATTTGAGCAACACAACCAAAGTAAGAGATTTGTCTGGTGCCTATAAGAGAATTTATCATGGATTTGGGGACAATGACTGAAACAATGCCCAGGTCTTGCAAAGCCAAATTCATTAGGAAGAAATACATGGGGTTGTGCAGTTGATGGTCAAAAGCTATTACAGTGATGATGAAAAGATTTGTCATTGCTGTTGCCAGGTATAATATGAAGAATAAGAAAATATGTAGAAGCTGCAGGTACCGATTGTTTGAGAATTCCATGAGCAGAAAGTAAAGCACAGTAGTTTGATTCTCCATTATTAATTTATGACATACCTACAAGGAAGGACAAGGAAACACATTAGAGGAAAGGCAAGGACCTATGCCATGTATGGTATTTTGATTTCCAAAAAGACATGATACAAAGCTAGAAAATCTGCACTTACTAAACACTGTTACACTGAAGCTTGAAGATGGAAATTCTCTAATTGCATAAGGAAGTATAACATACATCGACTCACTCACACTTCCCCACCACTCTATCAGAACATATCCTTCAATCCCATCTTAACCCGTCTCAACTGTCAGTACCTAACATTCCATCTTCCTACCATCAGAACTTATGAAGCTTCTTGGATGAGAAGTGAAACATTTTCTTCTTCCTCAAGGAAAAAAACCAATCCAGTTGCCTTTTGAAGAAATGAAAAAAGCTCCTTTGAGAATCTCTTTAAATATGCCTTAGTTTTGTTGCTTCAGATTCATATAAAATCCTGTCCCCACACAAATAGATTCTCATTACTTTGATTCATAATATTTTTAATTTGAGTCCAAATTTCTGAAAAAAAAACATATAACATTTTATGTTGTAGGAAAGCATATGTTATCTTTTCTTTAAATTCTCTTTCCAATGTTGACAATATAAATTGAGTCTAACAAATAGTCGAGTCAGACATGTTTAATTAAATGACAACTTGACCGAGAAAACAGGATGGCTTTGCTGTTAAATGTTTAGTCAACAAATCACTTACTACTTGTATTTTAGAATTTGAGTCTTCTGCTGCATATTCTTTAGACCATATAGTATAGGTGCAGTATTGGATAAATGCTATCAAACTTCTGTTGGATACAGATGTGCAAATAAATGAGTGGAAAAAATTAGATGTATAGTTAGCAAACTGATTAATCAGTTAATTGTTTCCCTCAAGGTCTAATTATACAGTATAATACAACACAATCAAAATGAGACACAATGTTAATACTAGTATCTTATTAATATAATTAGCAATAGCTTCTGCTATCTATATTCAGATATGAATTAAGTGAAGATAGGATATGTGTGAGCATGTTTTAGAACAATCTCATTGCTTGGGTTCTACTTTATATCTATTTATTAAGAGATTCCATCACTGCCAACCTTTTAATGTAGATGGGATGAGGAAACTCTATCCACAGGAAGACCAGATTTACAATATATTTTACCGATAGGCTATAATAGAATGTTGCACATCTGGTACTTCTCTCTTCTTTGCCCCAATAAATCAGATTTTAATTATTCTGAGTCTCTTCTTAATGCCATAACCCTTCCCAGATTTTAAGGAATGATTTCCCACTCTTTATTTGCACAATGATTTCTTAATATTTACTTCAAAGCCACTTCCTTGATTTTTTTACAATGCTATATCAAAGCCATCTGAACCGCTTTCCACCTAGTGAGTTAGATATCAGTGAGTTCCATCACTTAGTCACATAATGTGAATAGATCTTTTGAATACTGGTAATTTTAAAAGTTGATGTTTTGATTTCTAGCATGCTGCTTCCTTTCTTTTCTGGTAATACTTGTTATTATTTTATATACAACAATGCGAAATCACACATGTCCATTTTTTTAGTTCAACTGTATTTAGTTTTTTAAATTTATATGCACTGAATTTTTTCTCAAGAACTTAAGATGTCACAATGTAGTAGTATAAAAGTGTATATGTGCCTCCAAATGATGTGACCTTTTGAAATTGACAGATGGAAATTTTGTCAATGTGCATATTTTTTAAGTGCTGTCAGTTTTTTTTTGTTACGGCATCCAATGTGAAGATAACCAGTTGGCTCATATCACAATCTTTCAATTTCAGTTTCAGATTTTGCTATTTTATGATCTATTTCAATTTTTAGTCTTCTATTCTATTATTTTTTGGTATTTACATATCAATTATCTTTTTTAACATTAAAATATAATTAAAAGTATTTACATTAAAAGTGGATAATAACATTATGGTCCAAAGATTGTTAAAGGTATGTCCAGATAATTGGTACANCTTGCCTCCAGAAGTTGTGAATGCCCCAACACTGGAAGTCTTTAAGAAGATGTTGGATAGCCATTTGTCTGAAATGGTATAGGATTTCCTGCCTATGTAAGGGGTCGGACTAGAAGACCTCCTAAGTCCCTTCCAACTCTGCTATTGAATTGCTTGCCACTTTGCCAGGGAGGCATAATTTCTTTATTAAATTTCTCATTGCCTTCAACAATGACACTGCTTCTAAGTACTGCCTTCACTGAAAATTCTCTTAAAAATACAGGGAGACATTCAGAGATGTTTCTGTCTTAAAAATATCCCATCTTGAACTATATAGCACAAACATCAAGAGGATTTACAACATTTTGCATTCTGTCCGCAAAATGGTTTATAACATTTGTCAAATTTCAGATCCATGGAAGGCATAGGCTGTGGATAGCCTAGCTTGGGTGAAAATATTTTGTCCTATAGTGCACAGTATTGCTGTTTGAGATTACAGGAATGAGAATTTTAGTAGTATATAATGAAGAAACAATTTCAGAAATGCCATCAAACTTTGTCCCTTAAGTGCAGATGAATGTAAAAATAATGCCAGTGATATTAATTCACCTATTAGAGGGAGTTCTTTCATTAGTTTTTACATTTTTACAATGGATAAATATGTTTTTATTTTCCAGTATTAGCATGAGGGAGAGAGATTATTTTAAAAAGACATTTGTTTTATTTTTTAGGATGTGTATAAATCCCATCCAATCCCACAAATATTCTTATTATTTTGATTTGTCATATTTCTTAATTCATCGATACTTCTGAAAATAATCTTCCTTTATTTTCTTTCTTCCACTTAAATAACATATTAAAGTACGGTGTTATCTTATAATTTCTTTAAATTCTTCCAATGTTAGCATTACAGAATTTAGTCTAACAAATAGATGAGTCATACAGATTTAACTAAATGACAATTTGCAGAACACAGGATATATCTTTTCTATTAAATTTTCAGTCTATATTTCAGTTGCTGCTTTCCTTCTCAGAATTTTTCTCTCCTGCTGCATACACCTTTGACTTGGAAGCATGGATGAAGTGTTGGATAAAACATTTCCAACTTTTGTTGCATGCAGATATGCAGAATATCATCAGTATGAAAGGTTGAATGTATATTTAGTAAACATGTCCCTCAAGAATTAATTATATAGCAAAGGACCACACTGTCAAAATTATACAAAATGTTAACAATATCATTAATGTAATTAGCAAGTAGTAGATTGCACTATCCATGTTCAGATATGAATTAAGTGAGAAGATGTGCATGAAGCATGTTCTAGAGTAGCAAATTTTGTCAATGCACATAAGTTGAATATAAAATTTTAGAAATGAAACCTCTGAACAAGTAGCATAATCCAAAACTCTGCTTGCCTTCTCTTAGATCTTGAAGCAGTATAAAAGGTTTCTTTCACTCTAAGACTTGACTCAGGTGGGTTCATGAACTGGTAGCTCAGCTGGGCTAATAATGAAACCTCTACATGGAGATCACAAAGTATCCTTTGTGATGTCATGCTGATGCTATCTACCTGACTATGAAAAATATCTAATGACATTTTATCCCATGTCAATTGCCTGAAGATAAAATGCAGCCATGGTAACTTTAGGTTGTTGCTACCTAACTGAAGAAGAAAGACTTTGCAGAATAAGATCGTAAACCTCACTCTCATTTATTAAATGAGAGTTATTACATATACCTAAGTTTTTGTTTATTCTTTTACTAAGCTTATGAACATTTGATTATGTATATTTACATTATGTATATTTATGCTTTCATATTTATATAAGTTCTGACCTGTGATTTTTTTAAAAAGATTTTTATTAACCAACATGTAAAATGCACACACACAAAATTTAGACGTACACCACATTTACATAATANATTTGAGGCATGCCTGTCTCAATTCTTAACTGGGCATTTGGAGTTCCATTGGGAGCAGCTAAGATGGCTCGCAGGAATTTTGTTTGAATGGTTTCAAGTATGGTATCAATTATCCATACTTTGCTCTCTTCAATCACAATTGCATAGCATGTTATGAGCCAAGACTTTTATCAATTTGTATTTGTAAATCCCACAATATTTTAATCCGGACATTTTTCACTACTTTTTTCCAACTCTATTTTTTCACCATTCTTTCATTATAAACACATAATATTTTTTATAAATATTCCAGTGAATAATTTTGATCATAGTATTATGTTATATTGTAAGCTGCCAGAGTCACGTCCTGGTGAGTTTGGTGGCAAACAAATGAAACAAACAAACAAATATAAGGTTGATCTCTCCCCCCTATATGAGGTTTAAAACCCACAGTCCCCTGGTTTTTAGGCCACCTTAACTATTTCATCAAATGGAAACTCATTAGTTAAGTCATTATTAGGCACAACCTTTTAAAGCATGTTTGAAGATTTACCACAATATGCTTTCAGTTTTTCTAAAATTTTACTATTAATGCTCCCAGATGGTTACTGATGGCTTGGTTCATGCAGTGATCTTAACTTCATTCATGGAAATGAAGATGTCCTCAGCTTTGAAGGAGCCAGTGGTAGGCCCACTACTCAAGGAAGTATCTCTGACCTAATGGTTTTGGACAATTACCATCCTGAGTCCAACCTTCCCTTCTCAGATTGCTGAGAAGATTGATTGGCTTGGTGAGCTCAGACAAGGAGACTGGCAACAATCAGCCTGCTCCAGGGTTGCCAAATGAATCATTGCATGGAGAACTCCCTTACTCTGACTCCTTTTGCCTTGCTTTGTCTTGCCATGCTGTGCCTTATCTTGCCTTGACTTATCTTGCCTCATCTTCTATTGTCTTGCCTTGCCTTGCCTCACCCTTTTGTCTCATGCTTTGGGGAACCACTTAGTTGACAAACCTTTCCATGCATTAGACTCCAGATCAGTTTGACTCCTCTTGTGCCTGACTCTCTGAACTTGCAATACTTCATTTATGCAAGCGGATGGACTGGTGAAACCTTGGTTACTTTGTG